ATGAACCATTTTTTTTCTAATTAGATTTGGAAATAAAGGTAAAGCACAGACAATGATAAAATATTAGGAGAGTCTACCAAACCAGTGGGAGCAATGCTTTATATTTAAAGCATGTAAGAAGGATCTTTTTATTTATATAATATGTTCATGTGTATAATAAACACACATACACACAATATAAGAGGTATGATGCATATCATGTATTGAGCACTTGATGCATGCCACACACTGCTCCGAGGATGTCACATGTGCATATTAACTTACGTGATTCTCACAGCTAAGATGTAGATATTTACTCTTATTTTACACTTGGGTGACTATGGTGGCTTACTAACAATTGTCCAAGTTGCAATGCTAGGAAGTGGTGAATTCTTGAGTTTGTGCTTTTAACCACCTTAGCATACTGCCTCTCTTAGTATTTGGTTTAATATTAATTCTAACCCAATCTCCTTATGATTCTAATATGTGGTTTAAATTTTTTTTTTTTCTGTTAAAAGGATTTGGCAGAATGTGTGACACTGTTCCTTAGTAATTTTATCATCACTAATGAGGAATGGGTTGACATCATCAACTGTGAATATTGGGACTTTGGGGGATCATGTTTTGGATGTGTTCATTAAAAAAAAGAAAATATTTGTGGAGAAAGGAAAAAATTTATCTTGACAGAAGGCAAAAACCAAGACTTGTCTTCCTCCATCTCCTCACCATTCTTAAGAGGTTTAGAAATAAACTGATAAAAACTTACTCGGTAATTTTTCCATTTACTGAGAGAATGTCCTTCCTTTGCCCCACATACAAATATACATTGAGTACTGTGCTTTCGGTTTTTTATTTTTGAGAGACAGAGAGAGAGACAGAGAGAGAGACAGAGCACGAGCTGGGGAAGGAGCAGCGAGAGAGGGAGACACAGAATCCAAAAGCAGGGTCCAGGCTCTGAGCTATCAGCATGGAGCCAACGCAGGGCTTGAACTCACAAACCACAAGATCCGTGACCTGAGCCAACATCAGATGCTTAATTGACTGAGCCACCCAGGTGCCGCTACTAGGCTGTTTTAGATGGTAGAGATACAGTGGAGAATAAAAAAGATAGAGTCCTGCCTTCATGGGTCTTCTGTTTTAATGAAGGATGGGGGTAATAAGAACCCAGCTATGAAGAAAAAATGGAGTGTCAAGGGGATAGAGAAAAAAAGAAACTGCTGTTTTAGGATGGTCTCTGATGGCATGTTTTAAACACCTGAATGGAGTGAGAGGTACAGGCTTTGGTCATATCTGGACAAATGCATTTTAAATAGAAGAGGAAATCTAAAGATCCTGAAATGGCAATATGCTTGCCATGTTTGAGGAATAGCAAAGAGACCAGCGTGGTTAAAATGGTAGGGGATGAGAGGCAGATACTTCTTCTAAGTTTGGGAGGACGTGGGGTAATAGAGAAACCTGAGCTGATTGAGGTTTGAAAAGGAACTCGTGGGCTGCTGAATGGAGACTCCACAGTCCGGTTACTCTGGGAGTTGGTGGAGAGATGGGGGTGGCTTGGGCTGGGGAAACCAAGAAGGAGTCGTGAAGAGCAGTCAAATCTAGGTCTATGTTTATAAATTGAGCAGTCAGGATTTGTTGATGGATCTGTACACAGGTTACACACAGTGAAGTGTGGAGGTGACGCAGGGTTTGGGGACGAGCAGCCATATGGAGGGAAAACAGAGCTCTGTGCTAATCCGGGGAAATATGGGGCTGAGGTAGAGAGGTTGCAGTTAGAAATACAGATGTGGGAGTCGCCAGCTTAGAGATGATGTATGAAGCTTCAGGAGAGGACACCACCTAAGGAGGCCGTGCAGAAAGAGAAGTGCCAGGACAGAACACTGGGCTGCAGCATTTTTAAAAGCTGAGGAGGAAGACACAGCAGAGAGGATTTAGGGAATAGCTAGTGAGAGGAAACCAAGAGAGTATGGTATCTGGGAAGGGAAGTACGATGCCTTAGCAAATGGGTTACTAGAAGTTACTTGTTCTAGGGGCTTTCAGCTTAAGACCACCACCATTAAAAGATTTTGGGAAAGCGATTGCTGCGTTTTATCCTTTCTAATTCACATTTGTATAATTTTAAAAGTATGTTTAAATCTGAGAAGTGTCATAAGTGTCATTTTTATCATCTCTGTTTTCAAGTTCTTTTTATTGAGAGTAAGTAGGTAGTTTGGTGGAAGAACTTAGATATATATGAAATAGTTTTTAGCACTGACTTACTGCGTGTCTTTAAATACAGCGTTGTTTCAAATTTTAGTAATTGGTTATTTGTCTATATGTGATGAGTTGTATGCAGTTGTCATACTTCTGTGTTTTTGCTGTTTGAATATACATCTGCAGCGGCCAACATGAATTGCCTTGTATTTATGTGTTATACAGATAATTAAAATCACAATAGACCAATGAGATAATTTTAAGGATACTGTAGGTCCCCTAATTATTCACCTGACACCTAAGAATAAATATATACTTTTCAAAATTACTTATTTTAAATTTCATTGTGTCTTACTGTAAAAGAAGTGCCAAGAGGTAGTAGATACCCATTAATTATACGCATATTACAACTATAATGAAATTATACTTTATCATATTTTCACAATAATAAATAATAACCTGCTTCCCTAAAATTCAGTTTGCATAGGTTTTTACCTGAGGGCTTTATTTGCAAGGTAGGTTCTTCTGGGATAGCAGAAAACACATAAGCAGCTTAAACAAGACAGAAGTTTCTTCCTCTTCCAAAAGAATACAGCTCCTAGAAGTGGGGTAGTGATGTTTATGGATCTAGGCTCCTGTCTTTTTGTTCTGCCGTCCGTACCACACCCAGCTTTGGCTGAATAAGCTAATATGGCTGATTCAGTTTAGCCATCACATGTGCATCCTAGCAAGCAGGAGGAAGGTCGAGGAAAGGGAATACTTCCCAGAAACTGCATGACAATTTTGGTTTACATCCCGTTGCCAGATCTCACTCACACGGGCACACTTTAACTACAAGGGAGGCTGGGAAATTTCATTTTTAACTCTGGGCAGCTCTGTACTTATCTAGGGTTTGGGGTTCCCATTATTGACAGGTACAGGTGTTAGTGTACAGCCAGCAGTCTCTGTGCCACAGGGCTTTTACACAATAGGGGGAAACTGATTTTGTAACAATGTGTGGTCACGTGCAACAAGATGTTTAGAAATGAGCTATGGTGCTTCAGGTAAAGTAATGCTCCCTGCTACTGAAATCCAGTTTAGAAAATGTCTGCTTTCTAACTCTTTGTATTTGGTAACTTTTGTATGTACTCTCTTATTTCTCATTCCGCACTAAAGTATTAACAACAATAAACCTATTTGTGTGTGTTTAGAGTATGACAGCTTTATTAGTTTAGCTAGTGTCATGTGAAATGCAGAAGTAAATAAGAGATAGTATGGTGTCTTTTGAAGGTTAGTAACTTTGTTTCGCCATGTTGAGTTTGAAAACAGAACCTACAACAGTTAAATTAGAGCCCAGTTGAAGTGTGTGTATATGCATAGGTGTGTATGTATATCTATAACTGTATTGTCTGATATGTGTATTTTAAATTTTTCTAATGTTTTATTTATTTCTGAGAGAGAGAGAGACAGTATGAACAGGGGAGGGTCAGAGAGAGGGGGAGACACAGAATCCAAAACAGGCTCCAGGATCTGAGCCGGCAGTCAGCACAGAGCCCGACACGGGGCCCGAACCCACAAACTGTGAGATCATGACCTGAGCCAAAGTTGGACGCTTAACTGACTGAGCCACCCAGGCGCCCCTGATATATACATTTTAATGTCAAAATCGGATTATCTCCTCCATTGGCAGATGATCGAATTCTTTAGTTTCATAATTAAAACAAAGCCTGTGTTTTGTATGGGATGTTTGGGCATAATACAGGGCCGTAGAGGGTAGAGTGCTTGCTGAGGTGGTAAAGGCAGACACGGTTAACCTTGTACTCCTTACTAATCATGTCAGATTCATGCGGATAGTTCTTGGTCACCATTCTGGCGGCCATGCATCCTGCACAGTCACGAGTCTGTAAAGGGGCTATACTGAAAACTGCTGACGCAGACATTTCATTCTAGTAATTTTCTCAGTGGATTTTAATGAACCTTTCTAACAGTCCATCAGAAATGCAGGCATTAGAGGAAAATCCTGTTTAATGGACTCTAAACAATGATCATCCTTACTGTTGGCATTTAGTCAAACAAGCGTTACAATGTAGAAATGCTGAAAAAACAGCAGTGTGTCCACGTGCACCTTCTTCCCTGCCACAGGGCTCTAGGGTCCTGTCCTCCTCCCCGCGTGTACAAAGTGCAGAGCTCTGTGTGAGGAATGGCTGGGAGCAAATAGGAGGCTACTGTGCTCTTAAGCCTTAATATTTTCATTTTTTATATTTTTGTTGTATCAGTTATAAACTTTGAACTTGTCAGATTTGCAATATCATTTGTAATAATATGTTTAAGATTTTTTTAAGCAAATTTCTTTATTTAAATACAACTATGTATAAAATCGTTGAATTAAATGGCAAGTTGTGATGATTTTTTGCTGCTCATTTTTTATTTTAATATTTTGGTTGTTTTCTAGTTAGGAATATAAATTCCTTTAGATTTTATTTTTGGAAAAAGCTATGGAGAGAGTTATAAACAGTTTTGAAACTTTAAAAATTTTTACATCCTATATTAAGTTTGAAGGACTAAGATACCTACATTGTTTTTACATTTCAAAAAACAAATGGGTTTTATTTATTCTCTAGGCATTGCTCCTAAATCACATTGTGCTCTTATGATCTGGGAACTAAAGTTCACTGTTTTATGTTTTGTTTTCAAATCTCAAAGATGATTTTGATTAATATGCTCTGAGTTAAACATTAGCTTTTTTTTAAAGAAATGCTGTGTTCAGTAATTTGCTCCTTATTCATTTTCCCATTTTTTGCTTTTCACATAGCTCCATAATCTTCAAACTTCTCTTTCCTGTCTTTTTAAAGGTCGATTGAGCTATCCACATCCAGGAACTGATAATCTGTTGATGTTAAATGGTAAGTTTTCTACGGACATTTTATGTTTCCAATTGACTTTCATAAGTAAATGTGATTGACTGCATGGTTCTCTACACCTTCCATATACATAGAAGTTAATTATTTTATAAGTATAAAGATAAAGCTACAACATTTCCTATACAAAAAGCAGAATTAGGAGTTTGGAATGTGCCTGTTTCTAAACTCTAGAATATAGAATCTAGCTGTCAAAGCAATTATTGCAGTGTATTTGTGACAGCGTGATTTAATTCATTGACTACAGACTTTGGAGATAGTGCTGAGTTTGAATATTGGCTTTCTAGTTTTTGGTATGACTTTGTTTAGAAACTTCTGTGAGCCTTCATTTCCCATCTGTGAAATGAGAATAAGAATTTCAAGGATTATTATGAGAATTAAATGAGATAATGTTTGCAGAGTACATAGAACTTGTTACTTAGTATAGCACGTGTGCTTACATTAACTAAGGAATGAATATACTTGTGACTGTGTAAATATGGTGCTCACACTAAATTTATTCTAACTAGAAAGTTTACACAGTGAACTTCACCAGAGTTAGAAACAGGATAAATAAACTTTCATTAAAGATTGTTTTCTTTCTGATGTGGATAAACATTGTTTTCATGTCACAGTACTTAGCACATCCATGACTGTGGGAGTAGACATAGGGGATTAAAATATCCTTCACAAAGGTATTTTTAAATCAGAGGGAGAACAAAAAGAAAGGAGTAGAAAGAAGGAAGAATAGAGGTAGTACTTACTTTAAAATACATAATTATATCATTAGAATGACTTGGCTCTTCTATTTCAACTAAAGCTTTGTTGAAAACAGGTGATAGTGAGGTTGGGGAACAAAGACCGAAAAAAGGCCAGTGTAAAGCTAGACCATGTGAACTTAGAACTAAGTAAAGACTGTAGTGACAGAAAGGTGGGAATGATGTCCAGGCTCCCTGGGAGATTGTCAAGGTATCAGATGGGATTTTGGAATGAGAGAAAATGTGAAGAAGTGGTGTGTCTGGTGATGTGATTTATTGCTTCATTCAACATTAGATTGTTATATACTGAGCTGCCTACCACGTGCCAGCCTGATCTGAGCACCCGGGGTAGGTGTTAGGATCTCGAAGGACAGTTAGAGGTCAGATTGTCAAGGTTCTAACACTGGGGCCTGATTGTGTTTCTAGGCTGAGGCCATGTCTGGGCTGGATCTTACAGCAGTCCAGCAGGCCACAGTCATGAATTCAGCAAATTATGGTGCTTATGTAGACTTCAACCAGAAAGGTTAAAGAAATCACATTCCAGGACTTCTTCAGTCAACTTTTTTTCGACCATGGAATTAAAACATGTCACTTGAGTAGCTGGTCTCTAAACTCTGTATTTGTGACTGAAACTTACATTGATGAAATTAAGTTTACAGACTGAAAATAGATCATAATTTTTATTATCCTCATGACTTGATTGATAAAATGATGGGATTGAGTAACAAGCTATTTATATATTTAATCCTGACTTCCTTAAATAATTTTCTTTTGGGACATTCTGTGTGATAAATAAAGACCATTCTATTTTAACTTCTAAAAACAAGACAGTAGAAAAACTTGAATTTGTGTATATTTCACATATTCGGTTAAGATCCATTTGAAGGAAGGTACCGTGTGAGACAGTTTGTCAGATCATTCACAGATGTTCAGGGATTGCTGTGTGCATACTACGCTAGCACGATTCAGAAGTATGTTGTAATCACAATAGAAGACCTCAGTTATGTACTAGCAAAGAGCATAGGAGCCGCATTGTTTTTACACTAAATATTATTAAACTAATTGAGTTCGTCAGTTGTCTAAAGCCTTCATGAATAACCCAGATGTTAGGTTACAAGTGTTTTATCACCTAGTAGACACAAGAATATTTTATTTTCAGGCAGGAGTTGAAACTTGTGGACAAATCTGCTTTTTCATTATGTGAGCACTCCTCATAGCCTGCCACCTCAGAGCCATGTTACATGCTCCATGCACTAAGCTGACCTGGATATCCTGAAGTTTTTCTGGCAAGGGACTAAGGGAGTGGAAAGATAATGAAACTAGGACATCAAAATGTGCTTAGGTCAGTAGGGACAATTTGATCCAAAGAGAAAAAAAAATTATTTTGCTCACTTGGGATCATTGTTAAGGGGGAAGCAGAAGTCAAGAAATTGGGTGTATTTATATGACAGGGAAGTATTTGAATATTAAGGATTTAAGTAATTTTTTCTAGACATTAAGGTCATTAAAGAGAGAAGTGGGCAAATGGCAATAAAAAGTAAGGGAAAATTTTCCTTGAGCAGCTTTTGATTCTTACAGTTCAACTATATTCTTAGCATATTGTCTCCCTAGGAAATACAGGAATTAAGTGATGTCAATACCAAGCCTCTGCCTGTTCCTAAATATTATTGGTTAATGGAATTATAACATCTCAATACATAGATCTACTTTTTAAATTATGTCACAGATTTGAACTCAGTATTAGCAATTAAGTAAGTTGTTTTTCTTAACCAATACACATAGCTAATATCATTGACTTTGAAAATCAATATTTGGTAATAAATTACAAGTCGTTGTTGTGTGTGTGTGGTGGTGGTTTAGCAATAGTTAACAGTAGTTGGTATCACAGACTCTGGAGCTAGATTATCTGGATTTAAACCTAACTTTGCAAATTCTAGCTGCATTACCTTGCACAGTTTACCTAACTTCAATTCGACTCAGATTCTTTATGTCAAAAGGAGATAAAATGCTGCCTGTTTCAAGGGATTGTTTTTTGAGAAGTGAGGGAATTCATTCATGTAAAACGTTTGGAACGGTTCCTAAAAATAAATGTTAGCTGTGGCAGCGGGTGGTGGTGAACAGTGACAAAATGACTTTGAAAGAGTATTAATCATGTCTTGTGAATACATAAATTGTTGGAGAATATAAATTAAAAGAAGATGTAACCAACATTTTCAAGTACTTGAAGGATGTTCAATGTATATATAGTGACCAAAGAAGGTTTGTTTTATGTTACTGCAGAAAGTCACACTAGACCATTTGGAAGAAGCTGTATAGGAACAAAATGTGGGTCAAAAGCAAAATGACTCTCTGGCACTGTTTCCTAAAGTGTGGTACACACATCCCATGTGGCACCCACGACAACCTTTGGTGGTGAACAAATACATGTTAAAACAAATGCATGACTATTACAATTTATGAACATTCCTTAGAACATACAGAACTGGAAGAAATCTATGAAGTTACTAGGCTCTTACTAGGTGCTAAGCTTGAGTCCACTTAATAAAAATAATATTAGAAATTCTAGTGTAGTTTTATGCAGATAAGGCAAATGTTGTAAAAAGCTTTCAAGATTCTACCTTCCTGGTCAATTAACATTATAGTTAAACTGTGAGATATTCCTTTAAGGGATAAACAGCGAATGGGGTGAAGGTCAGGAAGTTGGTCAGACTCGGTGACACTGTGAAATACCTCAAGCAGGTCCTTATATTTGAACCTCTCTTAACTCAGAAAAAGAGATATAATCCCACACCTAAAAGTCTGTTGAAGTTATATAGATAAAATAAAACTTAACAATAAAAAATGCCATAGAAATATAACAGCAGGTAGGCTCCTGAACAGACCATGTTCCTTAGTCTAAGTAGAAATCAAGTTGAATTGACTGGGGGCACCTGGGTGGCTCAGGCAGTTGAGTGTCCAATTTTGGCTCAGGTCATGATCTCACTGCTCATGGGTTCAAGCCCCACATCGGGCTCTGCTGACAGCTAGCTCAGAGCCTGGAGCCTGTTTCAGATTCTGTGTCTCCCTCTCTCTCTGACCCTCCCCTGCTCACACTGTCTCTTTGTCTCAGAAATAAATAAAACATTAAAACATTTTTTTAAAAAAGTTGAATTGGCTGGTTAAGACTGCTACCATTAAATAAATATTGTAGAAGAGTCCAAATCTAACGTCGAGAACCACTTTAGAGAAGTAACATGTAAGTACTATCTGACTTTAGAAAGACAGCTTGAATGTTTGTCATTCTCATTGTATAAATCTAACATATTTTAGGGGAGCCTGGGTGGCTGGATCAGTCGGTTAAGCATCCAACTTCAGCTCAGGTCATGATTTCATGGTTTGTGGGTTTGAGCCCCGAGTCAGGCTCTGTGTTGACAGCTAGCTCAGAGCCGGGAGCCTGTTTCAGATTCTGTATCTCCCTCTCTCTCTCTGACCCTCCCCTGTTCACGCTGTCTCTCTCTCTCTCAGGAATAAATAAAAACATTTAAAAAAATTTTTATAAATAAACCTCATATTTTATTCTCAGTAGGAAATAAATAAAATAAAACAAAACCACCCTGTTTTCCATAAGAACTTGTTCCTGTTTGGATCATGTTGTGCTCCCTGACCCCTCTCCCAAGGAAAAAGAGCTTCTATATATATATATTTTTTTAATGTTTATTTCTGAGAGAGAGAGAGAGAGAGGCAGTGTGAGGATCAGAGAGAGGAAGACACAGAATCTGAAACAGGCTCCAGGCTCTGAGCTAACTGTCAGCACAGAGCCCGACACAGGGCTTGAACCCATGAACTGTGAGATCATGACCTGAGCTTCAGTCAGACGCTTAACCGACTGAGCCACCCAGGCGCCCCAAAGAGCTTATATTTTTATAAGCTTTTCAAAAGGAGGACAGATAGCAGAACTATAGGGGGATGCATGCCAGTTTGAAATTTAAATTTGCTGTGCTTAGCCATATACAGCTATGTTTGTAATCATGAGCTTGCTCTGTTTTTTGGGAGGAGAGAAGTTATGTTTATCTTTTAATTAAGAAAACTTAGTAATGAAATTGTATTTCTGAGAGCAGATACTCTAAAGGTACTAAGTCCTAAAAGTAGGAAATTTGAGTATGCAATCAGTTCTTTTTTATGCTAGTGGAAATAAGTAGAGTAGATAACAGATTTATTTTAGATCTTGAAAAGGGCAATTTGTGGGTATATTTCTCTCCCTGGTTTTGGCTTTTTAGAGCAAGAAATAAGAATTTCTTTAGTTTCACACCAAGAGAACTTTAACCTAAATATTTCCAGGTTATTTGGAAACGTTTCCCTACCTGTTCTCCAGCTGCAGTAATTCACATATCACAGCCATTGCTAAGAGCCTGTATATAAGGGCACAAAGATACTAGAGAGAATGTCAGAATCATCCTATTTCTGGGGCGCCTGGGTGGCTTAGTTGGTTAAGCGTCTGACTTTCGCTTAGGTCATGATCTCGCGGTTCGTGGGTTCGAGCCCCGCGTCGGGCTCTGTGCTAACTGCCAGCTCAGAGCCTGGAGCCTGTTTCAGAGTCTGTGACTCCCTCTCTCTCTGACCCTCCCCTGCTCATGCTGTCTCTCTCTCTCTCTCTCCTAGAAATAAATAAAATATTAAAAAATTAAAAAATCATCCCATTTCTGTTTTAGTAGCTGTAGGTTAGAACCTAAATAAGATTATAGATAACCCAGGGCCAAATTTTAAAATCACTTGTGTAAGAAAGGTCTTTTTTCATAGCCTTCTTATTATCTTCATTAAAAAACATATATGTAGGGGCCCCTGGGTGGCTCAGTCTGACTTCAGCTCAGGTGGTTAAGTGTCTGACTTCAGCCCAGGTCATGATCTCACGGTTCGTGGGTTCAAGCCCCATGTCGGGCTCTGTGCTGCAGTGCAGAGCCTGGAGCCTGCTTCAGATTCTGTGTCTCCCTCTCTCTCTGACTCTACCTCCCTCACACTCTCTCTCTTAAAAATAAAATACACGTTAAAAAAATAATAAGATATGTAAAAAATGTAATCTAACACACGTGCATAAAAATGTATATATACATATATTTACACATGTATATTAACTAGCCAGTTCCTCACTTCCAAATGAGCTGTACTTTTAAATAATGTTTTATAAAACTTATGTGACTAAAATTTAATATTCTAAATAGTTTTTATACAAAAATTGCTCACTTTTTTTCCCCCTACGTCCTATTCTAAATGAGTTTGGAGGGGCATATTGTTTAAATAAGTCTTCTTTAATTAAAACATAATGAATAGTAATTTAATGATTTTCTTTTCTCATTGGGGGTTTTTGATAACTCTAAATCATGGTGGAACAGAAATTCACATAAGAACACAGGTAGGAAAGTGAGTCCATACACCATTGTTGAGTGTGATGATAGCAGATTGGTTATTTCCATGACAGGGGATAGGAAGTGTTTCACATGGTCTAGCTTCATCTGCACTCAGTTCTATTTTTGGTAATGTAGAGAATTGGAATTTGAGAGTTGTCCAAAAAATAAGTGGAATAGCTAGTTCTTTACAGGATTCTAAAATTCCTCAGGTATGAGATAGTTGGAGAAATTTTCTAAATAATGTGTTCAAGTCTAGGAATGAGATGAGACCTAAGATGCTATGAACATTTGTACATATTTTGACTATTTTAGTATTGAGTAGCCTCAGCAAAGAACATAACAGCTAAGAATATAAACTGGTTGTGATGTCATTAATGTTCTCAATAGGTCAGGAATTATGTACCACATTATTACTTCATTATAGTTCATAATTTGACTTTTAATTTGATGAGAGTAGTTTTATTTGCTTTATAAATGACCCATCTTCTATACCCATGAGTGAAATCCATAAAGCAAATTTATACTGGCTTAATATCATTTCGATAATGCCTAGAGAAAAGTAGGAAGTCTGACTTCTTAGACTTGTGCTATGACTGTTTGGGAGGCTGTCGATCATTTCCACACTTAATACAGTGATTAAGACTGCAGGGAATTCACCCTTGTATAGTCTGTTCTTCACAGCTTTTTAAGAATTCTTATTATATTTTCCATAGTTGATCTCCCATCTCTTTGAGACCCGGTGTTTTTAAGGCCTTTATAAGCTTGCAAGATTTCCACAGCAAAATTCTAAATGTCACTTCCACCCTACCTTACCCTAAACTATTATATCTGTCAGGTAAGCTATATATAATATATACAGAGAATGTACATATACGCTATATAGACACATAAAAACACACATAGGTAAGCTTATATATAAACTAATGTACAGGTCAGGCAATCTGCTGGGCTGTGAAGTAGTTGGAGCTCCGGAAAAGGTTAAATCTGCAGTAGTTATAGCTAAATAAAGACAACAGAGAGGGAGAGATGCAAATTAAGTTGTTTTGTATAAAAGACTCTGATGTAAGGCTTGTATTTATTGACTTAAAGTGTAATGACTAAGCGTTGACAAGTTTGTTTCTCCCACTTTTACTGTAGGGGAATTAATCCTATATTTTCACCTGTCGATATACTTCTTTATATTAAAGACTTACCTTGTAAGGGAATGTATTTAAATGATGTGATATATCTTCCTTTGGTCTTTGCTTTATACTTTCAGGGAGACTACATTTCAGATAACCATTAACATATGTTTTGATTTGAGATTTATTCAGAAAGAAACTTTTCTAGGCCTAAAAAATTTCATGAAATGTGGATTAAGATCTTGATTTTAACAGCGATTTTTTTGTTTTGTTTTGTTTTAGTTTACTGCTTTGATTTCATACGTTAACTCCAGGGTAAAAATACTCATTATATATTCAGATTTGTAGGGAGGAGTTATTTAAAAATAAGTTGTGGATTTTATCAAACTGGTAGTTTATTATGGAGAATTAATTGCAGTATTTTTTTCTCCATATGGAATTATGTAAACTGCTATTAGGGTAGTTTGAAATGCCTTTTTGCTTTATGCTTTTAGAGTACTTAGCATCTGTGCTATTCTAATAATAATTTGTATCTGAATCCCTTTTACCCCAGAGAGAGAGAGAGACATAAGCACTTAGAAAGAGGTTATAAAATGCACCAAAAGGATTAAAAGCATTGTTAACTGTAGTATATCATTAATCATTTTTTCAACTAAGCAAATTTGAACATGGATTGATTTCTTTACCTTCTATCTAAGCTCTACAGGCTTAAGAGTATCAGTTTAACATTGTTATATCTTTTCATTCCTCTGTGTCTTCCAGTACTTTCTCCACACAGGGCTTAGTATAATGTGAATTGGATTGGAATAGCTGTGTGTTGGACTATATCTGCTATATCTCTCTTTATAATTATTAAAATGAGGATTTAATTCATATTGTTTGCATTCATTGCTTGGGATGCTATTTAACTGTAAGGTGTTACATATTACCATACTGATCAAATGAAAGAAATATTTATTCATGAATTTGAACATGTATGAGAATAAATTGTATATTTCATGTTAATTTCGTTTTTTTTGGTATATTTCAGAATATATATATATATAATAAAAGTGATTTGTAAATGGTAAAACACATGCAGATATTACACAGTAATATTGTCCTAGCTCTTAAAACAAAGTAGCCCTAATTACTAGATGCCCACTTAGTTTTTCATATCACAAATACTTGTATGTGTGGGCTTGTTTTTAGTTCTGACATTTTACAATTTGTCCTTTGTTTACATGCAGCAAGGAGTTATGGGCGAAGACGAGGTAATTCATTTCTGTTTGCTATGGTTTAACTGTTTTTAATTGGGTTTTACTGATCAACTCTATAATTAGCCTAGATTTTTTTTATGCACTGTCTGAAAACTCACAGAAAAGTTATATTTTGATTTGCGCACTTGTCAAATTTTTGAATCTTATTATCTCTTTAACTTTAAAGCACATTTTCCTACTAATATGGTTGTTTGATAAATGTTTTCCTTTTAAACTGTCTAGATTTTAACATTTTAAAGTTATTTTTTATACCTTTTGAAATAAAGCTGCTGTTTATAGTTTGCTTAAGAAAAATGTTTAATGAATACTAGTGAAAGTGACATGCAATACGATTTTTCTACTCTCTAAATCTATGGCTGGTTGTCATTTCTATAGTATATAATTTACAACTCTAGTTTATTAGTTTTATGTTTGACCCAGTTGAAAATAAATACCAAATAGGCTTTTGTTAACACTGGTGTATAGAAATCATGTTGCTAACATTTCTCTGTGTCTTCTGAGAATATAATGCTTTCCTTCTCCCTCCCTACACCATGCAGGCACACTCAGTCTCGTTCACACACCCTTTCTCTCTCCCCCACAACAGTCTTCCTCTTTGGGTTCTTGCTATCTGAAGGACAAAACGAGAACTGTGAGATGCCGGACTACTAAACCTCTTTGGAAAGCAGCTGACAGTGTCTGTGGGTTAAACTTGGCTTCTCTTTTGTATGTGCAGAGAGACTGAGAGGGAGAAAAGTAGATGGGATGAGAAGAAGCAAAAGTAACTTTACACTACTAGCTTATCCTCTAAGTGTGCAATAATCACTATACTTCGAGAGCTGTCATAAGTAACAAAATGAGTGAAAAGGATTTTCCTTGACCCCTAAAATCCCCCTTGAGCCCTGGAGGATTGACTGTAATAATAGTGCCTTTTGATACATTTTATAAACGTGTGCCAATGCTTCACTGTCTTTTCATGTAGTCATGAGTACATGCACTTTGAAAACAAACAAGCTAAATCTTTTGACCACCGCTGATGACAGGAACGAGTATTCTATATTCTTAAGTGTATTTCTAGTTTTGTATTTCACACTGTCTGAATTTAACTTCATTTTTGGAATCTGGGTTTTTCCAATGCTTGACTAAATCTCTTGGTTCTTTAATTTTCTAATGAAAAAATTGTTGGATATAGAAACTCAGAACTCAGAAACTAAAGCTGAATTACTTCCTGAAGGTTGTTGTTAGCGACTGTGAAGAGTGGGGGAAGGTTAGAACTTTAGTACCTGTTTTCATGTCTGTGAACTATCCTGTCTCACTGTGCTTTTGTAATTGGCAGCTTCAGTCCTTTGGGGAAAACCCACTTACTAAGCTGTGATTTTTAGGTATTTTTGAAACTCTAGAGCAATTTAATTTAGGGCCTTTTTCTTTTATACACTTTTCATCTTTTAACCTTAGTGATTTATTGTTAATCTAAGTTGGCATACTCCAACGTAATATCATGACCTAGGAAATTCTCAGGAGCAAGGTATCAGAAAGTCCTATTACTGCTTATCTTCTTTTTTCTCAGTTCAATAATTGTAGACTATGATTATGATATTGAGAAAAAGCAAAATTTTCTGCTTTCAGATAGAAACTTATTACTGTTCCTTATAGCTCTTAGAGGATAGAGATCTATAAGACTTCCTCTACTTCGGGACTGCCTGCCAGATTTAGAAGAAAGAAGACTCTCACACAGTTCTAAGCCTTCTACAGAAGCTTTCTTTAGGATGGAACTGACTATTGTCACACTTATTTGGCTTAGTTTGGAGGAATAATGCCTGAATTTTCCTCTCAAATTATATGGCATTAGTAATTTTTTAGTTGGTTCTCTGAATATTCAGAGTCTGCTTTTAAAATTTCAATTTTGATGATCAAATGAAAAGTGTATCTATTAGAAATACCTATTGAGAAGGTTTATGTGAATTTGAAAGTACTTTGACACAGTACGTAATAAAACATAAAAAAAAAAAACAAAAAACCCACGCACATACCAAAGGAATGACTCAGAAAAGACTAGAAGTAGCCTGGCTCTCTTCCTATTTTCTACTCATTTTTCCCCCTTCTATGCTAGATACAATGCCATTATCACACTGATAACTTTTTAACTACCAAGATCCCCCTTTTATGGGGTTCGTGTTTAAGGTTTCATCCATCAAAGAAACTGTGTTTATTAATTTTATTTACTCATTTTTCCTTCTTAAAAAAAAAAGTCTTACACATATCTGATCTACTGCTCATGGACAATGAGTTGATACAATCCTTACCAAAAATAAGACCTCAATGTCTAACAGCATAGTAGTGGGTGAGCAGTATTATTTTTTGTAAGACATTTTGACTTTGTAGTCCACTTGGGGAAGAACTGTTTTTTCTTACTTGCCACCTTTGAGTCACCTTTAAGCCCAGGCACAGAGGAGCTGTTTTCATTTGAAAGATTTCCCACTGGACTACAGTCAAACCAAATTACTACCAAAATGACTTTATATGTTTTAATTTCCTTAATAATGTCAATAAGAACTTCACATTAAGCTGGTTCTAGATATTAGTATATGATATATACCTTAGGAACATTTAAAATTTAATTGTACTGGAAGTAATTAAGAAAGAGCAAATATTTCTTTCCCTGTTTTTCAGTTCAACAACCTGCCCCAACTCCTCTGTGTCTCTGTAGCCTGGGAGCCATAGAAAGTTCTACTTCAGAACTGCCTGGGGCCCAGGATTAGGAAGGAGAAAGACTCATATTGGAGGGGGGGGGTACTTTAATATATGGAAAACTATCTTTTGTATTTTATTGTCTGTTCAGCATTTCTTCCATTCTATTCTAAGAGTGAACTTACTGGTCTGGGGAATAGGGTGGGAGTGTGAAGACAGGTGTGAAGTGTAATTTAAGTTCTATCTCTGCACTTCAAATATTTTTATATTGCCATTTATTCCTTTCGTAAAGGATTAAAGGGCTACGGTGCTCCCAAAGAAACAAAAATATGTGGGCTGTTTTAAATAATAGAAATAGAGCCTGTTTTAGTTAATAGGACTAAACATTACAATGCAATATTTTCTAGCAGGTAATCCCAAAGCTTAAGTTAAAGCTTGTATGTGGAATGAAGTAGGAAAAGTTATTTTAAAGGGAATGAAATTATTGAAGCTCAGTGAGGTTGAATTGATTTATACTGTGTAGCCATTCAGATTTATGCACTGTAACAAGCAAGGAATTATAAATAATACAGTACACTATGTATTGTTTTAAAATTGACCCCTGGGTGTTCTGAATTGGTTAGATTTGAATCCATTTGACTCTTAAACAATCTTGTGAAGTAGTCTGAGTAAGGGTACAACCCCTAAATATCACTACTATCAAATCCTTGATTTTGTAATGAAATCAAGGCTGAAATTCTTCATCTTTGGTAAAAACTTTTGATAATTGTTAAAGAATGGGCAAAATCTCCGAAGCGTAAGCAAAAGCCAGAGTAATACTGTAAGACAGAGGTCAGCAAACTGGCCCACAGGCCAAACGTCCTGTTTTTATAAACAAAGTTTTATTAGAAAACAGCAGTGCCCATTCATTTACTTTTTGTGTGGTTGCTTTGGAGCTACAACGATGACAAAGTAGCATAGTTACAGCAGAGAATGTATGGCCCACAAACTCTAAAATGTGTTTTACTATCTGGCCCTTCACAGAAAAAAGTTGCTTACCCCTCCTTGAAGAGACTAATTCTGCCAACTCTACACCTATACCCAGCCAGACCAGTTTCTAAAAGAAACAAAATTTTAGTGAACTTATATATGGTCATACTAGATGTAATATGGTGTGTCTAGAAGTTAATTTACAAAGACATACTAGGTTTTAGTTGATTGTTAAAATTAAATCTCTTATCCATCCTCTATGTGAAAAGGATGAACCTATTATTGGGGCAAAATCTCTCTAGGTGATAAGGGTACCTTAATAGCTTCTTCCTCAGTTCTTTGGAAAAGCATGCCTGATCAGTGATTCTTTCTGATTAAACAGGTGGTGCTTGAGAAAGTGCAGTCTCAGACCTACTTCTGTTGTTGTGATAGTTTTTTAAAATCCTTTCATATTAAATAAAAATAATGCCATCACATTGGTAGATTTTCTACTCCAAAAGAGTGACTGCTATGATCTTAGAAGATGGAAAGAATATTCATATTCATCCTTAATGTATATAGCTTTGTTTTTTTAATTTTTAGAACAACAGTTAGTAAATAAAAGTATAGGATAACGACACATTGAGATCAAAGAATTATACTTGGGTTCAAGTTGTAAATTGCCTAATTTTGTACAAATGTTTTCCTTTTCTGCCTCCCCCTTTTTGATATGTTGAGAAATCTTTCTGTTCTGAACTTCCAAACTAAGATCACAATCTGAAAAGTCCATATAGCTGTGGTTTGGACATATGCACATAGCCAGCGGAGTAAAATTAGTAATTGCTTACAACTCCTCTAACAGCACATACCAGAAAATCCTGTACTGGGAGCTAACCATCAGTCTGTTATACAAACAGCCTAGTCATAATTTAGCCTTTAGCCCCATCTTCAGTTTAGGAAGCTCCTAATCTGGCTTTTATTATCGTGAGAAGGAAACATTATTACAGGAATATAGAAAAATCTCATGCAGTCTCCAGTCCTTTTTATTTAAAATATTTTGAAATGGGGGTGCTTGGGTGGCTCAGTCGGTTAAGCGTCTGACTCTGGCTCAGGTCATGGCCTAATGGTCCATGGGTTTGAGCCCCGCATCAGGCTCTGTGCTGACAGCTCAGAGCCTGAAGCCTGCTTTAGATTCTGTGTCTCCTCTCTCTGCCCCTCCCCTGCTCGTTCTCTGTCCTTGTCTGTTGCTCTCTGTCCCTCTAAAATAAACATTAAAAATTTTTTTTAATGTTGAAATGAGTAATTTGAATCATAATTGTCCAGATAACAAATGAGGTTCATATTTGAGGTAGTGGTTGTGTTTCTTTACTATAAAACCT